ATGATATAGCTATAATAGAAGGTTTCAACAGTAGACTAGAAGAAGCTAAGGACCAAATCAGTGTGATTGAAGACAAGGTAGAAGAAAACACCCAGGCAGAGCAGCAACTGGAAAAAATAAAATAAAAAGCAAGAGGAGAGTTTAAGGGAGCTCTGGGACACATGAAATGAAACAATACCCACATAATAGGGGTGCCAGAAGGAGATGAAGCTGAGCAAGGAATAGAAAACCTGTTTGGAGAAATAATGACAGAAAACTTCCCTGACTTTAGGAAGGAAAAAGTCACTCAAGTCCAAGAAGCACAGAGAGTCCCAAACAAGATGAACCCAAAAAGACTAACACTAAGACACATCGTAATTAAACTGGCAAACATCAACGACAAAGTAAGAATCTTAAAGGCTGCCAGAGAGAGACAGAAAGTTATCTACAAGGGATCTCCCATTAGACTATCAACTGATTTCTCAACAGAAACACATCAGGCAGAAGGGAATAGAATGAAGTATAGAAAATGATGCAAAGCAAGGGACTAAATCCAAGAATACTCTATCTAACAAAGCCATCATTCAAAATCAAAATTGAAATCAGATGCTTCACAGATAAACAAAGGCTAAGGGAGTTTATTACAACAATGTGAGAAATGTTAAAGGGACTACTGTAAAAAGAAGAAATAGAAAGGGAAGAAGGAACACAGGAATAAAAATTAAAAATTGCAACAAATAAGTTCCTCTCAATAATAACCTAAAATGCAAATGGGTTAAATGCTTCAATCAAAATAGAGTAGATGAATGGATAAGTAAACATGATCCATATATTTGCTGTCTACAAGAGACCCACTTCAGAATAAAGAACTCACATAGAATGAAAGTGAAGGGATGGGGAAAAAAATGTTTCAGGCAAATGGAAGTGAAGAAAAAGCTGGGATAGAAACACTTATACCTGACAAAATTGACCTCAAAGTGAAGGCCATAACAAGAGATAAGGAGGGCCACTTCATAATACTAAAGGGATCAAGTCAACAAGAGGATATAACTCTTGTAAATATATATGCACCCAATACAGGAGCACCCAAATACATAAAAAACACTTCTGGAAGATATCAAGGGAGAGATTGACAGCAATACAATCATAGTAGGAGACTTTAATACCCCATTGACATCACTGGATAAATCTTCTAGACAAAAAAAAATAAATCAGCAAAGAAACAGCAATCCTAAATGACTTACTATAACAGGTAGAACTAATTGACATATTCACAACATTTCACCCCAAAGCTACGGAATATACATTCTTCTCAACTGCACATGGGATATTTTCAAAGATAGACCACATATTAGGACACAGCCTAAGTCTCTACAAATTCAAGAAGATTGAAATCATATCAAGAACACAATGGCATAAAATTAGAAGTCAACTACAATAAAAACAATCAAACACATGGAGGCTAATTGCATGCTTTTAAACAATGAAGGGGTTACCAAAGAGATCAAAGAAGAAATAAAAAATACTCTGGAAACAAATGACAATGAAAACACAATAATCCAAAATCTATGGGACACAATGAAAGCAGTCCTAAGAGAGAAGTTCACAGCACTACAGATTTACCTCAGAAAAAAACAAAACAAAAAACAAACTGGTAATTAGTTATCTAACCCTACAACTTAAAGAACTAGAAAGAGAGCAACAAGAAAAGCCCAGAGTAAGTAGAAGGAAGGAAATAATAAAGATCAGAGTGGAAATAAATGACATAGAGACAATATATATACACAAAAGATCAATAGAACCAAGAACTGGTTCTTTGAAAGGATAACAAGATTGATGAACCTCTAGCCAGGCTCACCAAGAAACAGACAGAAGACCCAAATAAACAAAATCAGAAATGAAAGAGGTGAAGTAACAACCGACCCCACACAAATACAAAGGATTGTAAGAAAATACTACAAACAACTCTATTCAAACAAACTGGACAACCTAGATAAAATGGAAATATTCCTAGAAAAATACAATCTTCCAAAACTCAATCAGGAAGAATCAGAAAACCTGAACAGGCTGATAACTACTGATGAAACTGAAACAGTAATCAAAAAACCTCCAGCAAATAAAAGCCCTCATCCAGACGGTTTCACAGGGAAGTTTTACCAAACATTCAAAGAAGAACTAACACCAATCTTCCTCAGACTATTCCAATAAATTCAAGAGGAAGGAACACTTCCAAGCTCTTTTTATGAAGCCAGCATTACCCTAGTCCCCTAACCAGATAAGGACACTACACAGAAATAGAATTACAGGCCAATATCTCTGATGAACATAGATGCTAAAGTCCTCAACAAAATATTAGCAAATCACACCCAGCAATACATTAAAAAGATTATACACCATGACCAAGTAGGATTTATTTGGGGGATACAAGGTTGGTAAAATATCCGCAAATCAATAAACATGATACATCACATAAACATATTGAAAGACAAAAATCACATGATCATATCAATTGATAAGAAAAAACAATTGACAAAATCCAATACCCTTTTTTGATAAAAGCTCTCAGCAAAGTGGGATTAGAGGGATCATACTTAAGCATAATAAAAGCCTTATATGACAAATCTACAGCCAATATCATACTCAATGGGCAAATACTAAAACCATTTCCCTTAAGTACAAGAACAAGACAGGGATGCCCACTTTCACCACTCCCATTCAACATAGTACTGGAAGTGCTGGCCATAGCGATCAGACAAGAAGAAATAAAAGTTATCCAAATTGGAAAAGAAGTAAAACTGTAATTATTCACAAATGAATGATATTGTACATAGAAAACCCTAAAGACTCCACCAAAACACTACTAGATTTAATAAATGAATTCAGCAATGTAGCAGGATACAAAATTAACATTCAGAAATATATGGCATTTTTATACACTAATAATGAACTCACAGAAAGAGAAACTAAAAAAACAATCCCATTTACCATTGCAACATAAAAACTTAAGATTTTTGTTAGGAATAAATTTAATTAAGGAGGTAAAAGACCTGTACTCAGAAAACTACAGGACATTGAAAAAAAGAGATAGAGGAAGATATTAAACAAGTTTCAAGAATATACCGTGTTCATGGATTGGTAGAATCAACATCATTAAAATGTCCATACTATCCAAAGCAATCTATAGATTCAATGCAATCCCCACTAAAATACCAATATTTCACAGACTTAGAACAAACTCTCCAAAAATTTATATGGAATAAAAAAAAGACCCCGAATAACTATAGCAATCCTGAGAAAGAAGAACAAAGTTGGAGGGATCACAATACCAGATATCAAGTTATATTACAAAGCCACTGTTGTCAAAACTGCCTGGTACTGGCACAAGAACAGACATATAGACCAATAGAATAGAACAGAGAACTCAGAAATTGACCCAAGCCATTATCCTCAATTAATATTTAACAAAAGAGGTAAGAGCATACAATGGAGTCAAGACAGTCTCTTCAATAAATGGTGTTGGGAAAATTAGACAGATACATGCAAAAAAATGAAGCTAGACCACCAACTTACACCATACACAAAAATAAACTCAATATGGATAAAAGACTTCATTGTAAAATGGGAAACCATAAAAATCTTAGAAGAATCCATAGGCAGCAAAATATCAAACATATATCATAGCAATATGTTTACCAATGCATCTCCTAGAATTCTTACCATTTGCAACAGCATGGATGGACCTGGAGAGCAATATGCTAAATGAAATAAGCCAGTCAGAGAAAGATAAATATCACATGGTCTCACTCATTTGTGGAATATAATGAATAACATAAACTGATGAACAAAAATATATCCAGAGACAGAAGCATTGAGCACTCTGTCAAACCTCAGAGGGAAGGCAGGGGAGGTGGTAGTAGCGGGGGGAGGGGAGTAAGAGAGCAACCAAAGGACTTTTATGCATGTAAATAAGCATAACCAATGGACACAGACAGTAGTGGGGTGAGAGCCTGTGCTGGGGTGTGGGGCAGGCTATTTATCAGATAGTGTGTGTTTATAATGTGCTTTTACACTATATATATCTACACTAACAAAAGAGAAACATGCAAATTAGTGTCACTCTGCTACGCCCACCAGCCTATCAAGATGAGTATGCAAATTAACCCAACAAAGATGATGGTTAATTTGCATATGCAGGCACAGAGCCAAGACTGAAGATGACTGAAGACTGAAGAGGCTTGGCTTCTTGGCTGCAGCCGGAGCAGAGAAGCCAAGCCTCGCTGCTGCAGCCGGACCAAAGAAATGGGTCCTGGGTGCCAGAGGAAAACCAGTGCCAGCAGCTAGGGGAAGGAAGGCCTATTGTGCGAATCATCATGCAATGGGCCTCTAGTATGTATGTATGTGTGTATATATATATATACATACACACATACACACACAAATATGTATGTGTGTGTATTATATATATATACACACACACACACATATACATACTAGAGGCCCAGTGCATGAAATTCCTGCACAGGTAGGGTCCCTAGTTGCCGCGGCCTCCTTTTGTTTCGCACCACCCCCTGATGGTCAGTGCACCTCATAGAGAGCAATCCAACTCCCAGTCAGTTGAACTCTCAAGGGGACACTTTGCATATTAGGCTTTTATATATAAAGATGATGTATATATAATGTGTAAAAGCACATTATAAACACACACTATCTGATAAATGAATTTACTTTATAATTTAAAATACTATTGTTGGTTTTTGTGAGTTATATCAATCCTATAAGCCTGAAGACATTTAAACCTCCCTCATCAATTCTCCTCAGGAAGCCACAGCATTTAGGGAACTTAAACCACTGAGGTTTGGTAATAGGGGTCCCTCATTTCTTCCTGCATAAGACTGAACCTGTAGATAGTACGGCAGCCACCCCTTTAGATTTGTCAGAATCCATCCTTTACCCAAAGCAAATGTAATACCACATAATTAAATCTACTTTCTATTTTATTGATCAGGGTCCCCACCTCATACCTTGACAAAAATATTCAGAGGGATGGAGAATTTCCCCGAGATGTTCATGCTGCTATGATCCTGCAGCACAGGGCTGTTGCGCAGCTCCACAGTCTCGGTCACAACATACAGATTCACCCCTGCTTCCCGGCATTGCTTCAGAAAGTATGGCTCTGGGTCCGGCAGTTTCCTGTGGGGAGGAGAGGGTCAGAGTAGGAAGAGATGCCTTCCCGGTTGGCCCTGGGTCACCCTCCTCCTCAGGACCTGGAAGGGGTGTGCCTGCCACAGGTAGAAAGATCCTGGCACATGGGGTAAGTTACCAAGGAAAGCGAAACATCTTCTTTGCTACACAGAGTGGAGGGGCCCCCATTTTCTGATAGGGGTGTGAGAAGGAGAGTATGCAGGCCATTTTGAGAAAGGCATGGGCATTTCCCAAAATTATATTGGTCCTGTTAGAGGGCAGTTTATAGATGCCCAGTGCCTGGGCCTCCCACCTGAAGAGGCCAGGAGTGGACAGGTCCACTTGGTTGACAACAGTCCCCAGGGAGCCTGACCATTGTCCAGAGGCATAGTGGGATGGGCTGGGGGCAAACAGATAAACATGATGAAGCAGGAAGTGCTGGATGAGTTTCCAGGACAAGCACATGGGGATGTGGACAGAGTAACTGTCCCTGGCAGGTGGCTGGGAGGGCTACCGTGAAGATGCAGGTCTGGGTGGGGACATGATGGGTTGAAAGTACTGAAGACGGATTTCATCTGCATTTCTGTTCTCAGGCTCAACTCTCATTCCACTAAAGGCCCCACTGGGTTGGTGCCCTGTATAAAACCGCGGGGAATACTGAAAGATCCTTGCATTGCTTTTCAGTGGAGGAGGTCACAGCCTCCAGTGTGAGTTTTCCCGTCGCCCTCTGGAGGAAGTCAAGGACCTTACCGTGTCTCTAAGATGTTGTGTCATCTGACATTCACTCACCTCCAAGCCTCACTTCTGTCACCTTCATCCTGGTTGGCTAAGCTCCCACCTCACTGACTTCCCACAGCTCCTGGAAACGCCAGGCTGGTCCAAGCTGGTCCTGGTCTAGGCTTCAAACCCCTCATCTGGACCACTTTACTCCTGCTCTTTGCTCCCTTTAGTCTGCAGGTCTCAGTTCAACTGTTAGCTCCACAGAGAGACCTAAATAGCCCCTCCCTCCAGCCCCTCTTCTACCAGCTCCTGACACTACCCACATCCATTTACCAAAAGTGTCTCACTGACTTTCTTTTCACATTTCAAATTGTCCTCAGAAATAGTATCCCTGAAATTGGAGCCTCTTAAACTGCTGAAAAAATTATAGGACAACTTTTATTTTCCTGCCACATACTCTTTTATACCATAAAGTCTTTGTGTTAGTTCTAATGAAAGTCTTACAACACACCAGAAATACAGAAACGGTGCCATGCCCTGTCAAAGTAATTTTCAGTCTCAATACCCTGTGATTTTTACTGGTTGCTTACTTCAGTATTTCTTTGCACTGACAGAAATACTATTTGGGCCTGGTCTGTGTGGCTCAGTAGTTGAGCATCAAACTCTGAACCAGTAGGTCACAGGTCAATTCCCAGTCTGGGCACATGCCTGGGTTGCAGGCTCAATCCCCAGAAGGGGTTGTGCAGGAGGCAGACAATCAATGATTCTCTCTCATCATTGATGTTTCTATCTCTCCCTCTCCCTCTCTCTGAAATCAATAAAAACATATTTTTTAAAAAGAAAGAAATACACTTTAAATTGAAATCTCTGTTTCTAAAAGGTCTTTTTTCACAGGCACTGAGGTAAATTAAGTCCTAGGACATTAGGTCATACTTTGTTTAAACAAAGAGTTTCAGAGCCTTTGCCTCACCTAAATTAATAATTTAACTTATTCTTTATTGCTTATTTTTCTCACTCACTGTATGTCCCCTGCCCCAGTAAATACGTTTTAGGGCAGGGATTTTTATGTCTTGGCATTACCCTATTCTCTCCAGAAAACAGCATTGTAATGAACAACTGCAACTTTAATGAAGACTTATTAGATAACTCATCACCGCTCGCTGAATGAATGAATGAATGAATGTGTGAATACCCAAGAAGGGCGGCATGATCTGGGGTGTTATTTTCTTCATTGTGAGCCTCTTTGCCCACAAGGAGACCTCCGCATGGGGCCCATTGACCAGGTCCCTCCCCTTGCCCTCACCTCTTCTGAAGCTCTGTCCAGGTTTCGTGTGGGGTGCTAACAATCTGGTACTCCAGGGAGGACCCTCGGCACACAGCAGTCTCCTCTGAGAAGCCCGCTTCTGCCCCAGCATTCACGCTCCCAGCCGCCTGCTGCTTCATGACCTCGGTGTCACTGAAGTCGGCAGACACTTCCACAGCAGCGTCTGGAAACAAACAAGGTACCTGAGGTTCAGCCAAGAATTCCCGCTGGAACAGCTGGGAAATGGCATGGAAATGGCACGACTGAGCCCTAGCTCGCCCCAGCTCTCCCACTCCACTGAATCTCAACTGAGAAGCTAACTCATCAGCCGACATTTTGAGTGTAAATTACTCCTGAGGACGTTTGAATCCACCCAGGAGCTGGATAACAGGGATACTGTCCTAACCCTAAGGAATGATGAGGTCCCCTGGGTGGGTGTCTCAGCAAGTCTTGCCTGCTGCACCCCTTCTCCCTGCACCCTTGTTTTGCAGCCCCTGCCTCCTATGCCCCTGGCTGACAATACCTGGAACCGAAGAGCCTGGTTCAAGGATGTGCATGAGGGAAACATCAAGTGGAACATCAGGTAGTTGCCAAAACCGAGAGCGAGCCTTCTTCCTCTGTATTAGAGAAAACCGGCGTATCTTGGTGGCGCTCACCAAGCATTTGACAGGTCTGAGCTCTTGGTCTCCGATCTCTTTGACCAATTTCTTGGTAGTTCTCCCAAACATGGAGGGCATGTTGCTAGGGACAGAGAGAAGGGAAGCACGAAGATGAGGTGGGTCTTACAATGAGATTAAATGAGTTTTCATGTGTCATTCAGAGAGTTGGCAGTGACTTGACTGTGTCATAGGCCTTGGTCGTATATTCACAGTGAAGTCACATGCATGTGCAAGTGAACCCCGTTAGCTTTAATGGGCCCTGGGTCTTTCTTAAATAGCTGTCCATCAGAATGGTCTTTAGTGAACAGATGAGATACTGAGACCTGAGTCCCTGCTGGGTCAGGGGACCAATGAGCACTTGCTTAACTTGTTAGAAGTGCCAAAGAGGAGGTAAGTTCCCCTCCAAAACCAAATGTACGCACTTCCTTATGCCACCACAGTTCCCATCAAGCTGGCAACACTGTACGATGGTTAGTCCCCCTGGAGGAGTGATTGTTAGTGTGTGAACTACCTGTGTTCAGTGCTGCAAAGCCCATGCTTTTTAAGTTCTTACCTAGTTTTGCTGTGACTGAAACAGAACAAGAATGTGGCCGTCACAAAGGTGGGCATGAGATGATTAAATAATGCACAGACGCCTGCATTGTTGTGCTAAGTGGACCATGATTCACCAGAAAATTATGAAATGCCTCATTGCTAAGTGTCAGGAGCTTTGGATGGGTACTCATCAATCTGTACTAATCAGCCTGTACTTGTCAACCTATAGTCATCCACCTGTAGCCATCAACCAGTACTCATCAACCTGTAGTCATCCACCTGTAGTTGTCAACCTGGATAACACTCTCATTCTGATTTTAAACACTTTCCATTTCAAAGATTAATGTCAGTAGAATGGCAGAACAGGACTTCTCAGCCCTCATCCCTCCACAGAAACAACAGTTCTGACAACTACTTGTGGATAAGAGTTCCTCTATGGGTGCCTAGAGTCCAGCAGATCAAAACCTCCAGGAATAAATGCATTTAAGAGTGGAAGCAGAGCAGTTTCACTTCCCCATGTCACCCCTCCTCCAAGGCAGCATAATTCAATCAAGACTAACCCCAAAGCCCATGCTTCTCCCCTGGGAATAGAGCACACGGAGCCCACTCCCCGCCCTGTAGGACACTCCTAACCCTGTGGCCCAGGCTTCTCCCATGGGGGAGTGAGAGCAGTCAGCCCACCACCCCCACAACCCTATGCAAGACACTCCTAAGAGGCCTGCTTCTTTTTCGTCCCACCCACAGTGCTCAGGCTGGTTGGCATGGCTGAAGACTCTGAGGGCAGGTAGATGGCACTGATAGATGAGTGGGTAGAGAAGATGTACATTTACACAGTGGATATGACTCCACCATAAAAAGAATGAAATCTTGCCATTTGTGACAACATGGATGGACCTAGAGGACATTACACTAAGTGAAATAAATCAGAAAGAAAAAGACAAATACCATATGATTTCATTTATATGTGAACTCTTAATAAAAAAAAAAGAATAAACAACACAAAACAGACCCATAGATACAGAGAATAAGCTGATGGTTGCGAAAGGGAAGAGGGTGAGGATGGGTGAAAAAAAGATGTGTCAAAGACACATCCCTTCATCATACCTGCTTGTGTGTTGTTACCCAGAATTCTTTTGCATTAGGAAGAATGGTAAGAAATGCTGATTTTTTTTTTTTGCGGGGGGGGGGGGGGGTGGTTGTCAATCTAAAACAAAGCAAAAACATCTCTACCCATTTCTCAAATCTATTCTGAACATTTCTCTCTCTATAGTATTGTTATTGCCGAAATGAGCTAGTTAATATCAATAAAGGGAAAAAAGTGAAGGGAAGGCCAGACATTATAACATGGTTATCTGGGCAGCTTCACCCTCCCTAGGGAACCACTCCCTGCAGGTCACTGGGGGAAGGGATAGAGCAAAGGGGGAGATGGGCGCATTTGTAGTAGAAGTGGGGGGATAGGGTGGGTAGGGAGTGTAGGGGGGTATTTGCCTGTCAGTCTAGCCTGGGGAACAATGGATTGGCTAGGGGGTGACCCCATCAGAAGCATGTGAAATCTTGAAGAGTTAATTGGTTAGTTTGGAGAAGCTCCTGGTTAAAACCCCAAAGAGTTCCCTCTCTCATTCGCTCTTGTTCTTTCTCGCTCTTGCTCTGTGACCCACCCTCAGCCATGTGCTCCCCTGTTCTCTCTTCATAGCCATGTTGCCTTACACAGCCCTGTGGTCCATGCCATGCTGACCTCACACACAAAATATCCAGCTGGGAACACAGCTAAGCTCGCCAGGTGCTGGATTGGACTGGACTTTAACATGGAACAGAAATTCTGGGCAGTGGCCTTGATCCTAGCCCTGCTGAAGGCAAGAATGGACTTCTTCCATGACAAGACAGAAATGGGATCTTAGAGGGGAACCCCCTTAATTTTACATCATCAATAAAGCTTTCCATGAAGCCCCATCCTCCTGTGGGGGCCTCAGGAAATTCTTTTCCTCACTCCAAGAACCCCATTTCCACAGTATCTTTTTATTCACCCCCTGGTCCCTGGTTAGAACTTACCAGTTGTATATTGTCTTGTCTTATAGAGAAAGGCTCCAATGGGTAGGGCTTCTTCCAATCTCCAGACCGCCTGAGGTTAGACAAAATCCAGAGAACAGAGAAGTGCGACTCCGCTAGTCGTGTTTTCTTCCCACCAGCAGATCCCTGACAAGTTCCAGGGCAATATCCTGTAAGAAGCAGCAGATGAAGCCCTCATCTCCTCCAGACTAGGTCTGGGGCTGAGCTCTAAATCAACCAGTCTTACCTCTCAAGTCCTTCTCAGGCAAGTGGAGGCTAGAATCTGGCAGGGTTTCTATATATACTGTATCTGCCAGCTGTCCCATAGGACAGTAGATAGGATCTCCAGAAGCAGAGCGTGTCTGTTCCTGACCCAGAGAACAGCCTGAGCAAGTCTGATTTGTGGGTTCATTCACGGATGAATGATTGCTGAAACAACTTATTTGGCTACATGCCACCTTAAACACACTGTGTAAGATGCAGCCGTGTGTCAGCAGGAAAGGTAGGAATAAGCTTCAGGAGAGAAGAGGTACATGCAGGACCCTGGGCAGAGCCTTGGTTCAATCGGAATTAATGCTACCCCTCCTGTGTGTCATGTGCTGTACAATCGATCTTACAACAATCTTTAATGGTAAAGAAAAAGGAGATTTTTAAAAGGACAAACCAACCTGCCCCAAACCCATTTACTTTCTAATTACTTCATGATCACTCCTGTGGCCTCATGGACAAAGGGAAATGCCTGGCAGAGGGGAGCCTGTGGGAGCAGGCAGTCCCAGCTCTGACGCTCAGAAGGGCAGCTGAGGGTGCTTCACAAGGCACTTATCCCCTCTTCTTCCATCCACTGTTCATGCAAGTCCCACACCTGCCCTTCCCCACCTGGGGAACGGGACAACCACTCCATGCGCCAGAGGGCTCACGGCTGTGCTTTCTACACGACCCACCAACCCGAAAGATTTCCCCGGACTGAATTTACTTTCTATAATTTGCATTGTAAAAACAACAGACTCGAAATACACAGTTTTGTAGGTACATATACCACTGTGCCACAGGCCAGCACCTGAGAGCCCTGCCCTATTCTGTGACATTCTAGAAGCCAGGAAACGTGACTCAGCTGTTTGGGGGGAGTTATGTGAGTCCAAGGAAGCCTGCAGGTTTTAGTAGGCTTCGTTTAGAACTATCATCACCATAAGCAGCCGATAGCTTTCCTTTCCCAGTTCCCTGTTCTCCATCGGGAAGCACCTCCGACATCCCAGAGGAGGGATATAAACGGGAAACCTGGGGCAGTGAGTGCAGCCACAGCTGAGCATCCCTGGTCCTCCACTGGGAACAGCCGCCAGTGGGGAAGCAGCGATCCTGGAAAAGCAGAGAAGCTCCACATTCCTCCCTGCAGTGTGCAAGCAGCACCCATGCCTCCCTCCTGGCAACCTCGCACAGGGTCTTCTGTTTGTGCCCAAGTCACAGGGAAGTGCTTGGTCCCCTGCATAAGAGTAAGCGACGCCAATTTACTTAAGGTTTCAGGGGGGACTGAGCTGGGGTGGCCACTGCCCAGCATGTTATCTTCTTGAAAATTCTCCACTAGCTCTTTTCTGGTTGACCCTGTTCACAGGTTTTCATGGAGACTTCGCTCAGCCCCTCCCTGCCTCACACCTGCTTCCCTTCCTCCTCCTCCTCCTTTATTTTCCCTTCCCCACCCCAAGGTCTTATAAGTTTTAGTCATGAGCTTCTAGGTTTCTGCTCTCCCCCGCATTTCCTCTCCCTTTCCTTATACAGAACAATGTAAGCTTCTCAGAGCCCCACCCTTGTTGAGCCAGCCAGTCGCCACGTTTCTAGGTTTTGAGTCTACACCTACACATTTTTTTTGATACCAGTGTTGGGGTAACAAGGTCAGTAAGACAGAGTTCCCGACTCCACAGACTATTAGCTTTAGTGTGGGGACACCAACCATACACCTTCTAAAAGTGGAAAACTAAAGAAAAATGGAAAGTAAGCTTGTCCTTACGCGTTCCTTGAGAGCACGGTGGCCTATATTTCTAGAATTTCTTCCCTGGAGGCCTCCACAACAGCTGCCCCGATTTGCACCACTCATGCTTCCTTCCTCTCTCCTCTTGCTTCTTCATCCATCATCTCACTCCCTACCAACCAGCCCATTTCAGAATTCCTTTCCTGGTTCCGAGTGTCAGAGCTGTTGGAAGCCATGTCACACCACTCTTGTAGACATTAACTCTGCCAGCGTCTATCTGATCGCTTTTCATCACTTCCAGGACCAACAGCCTGCCCCACCCACTATCAACACTGAACCTGGATTATCCCAATCCCCTAACTAGACTTCCTGCTTCTGCCCTGTCTACTGTCCACAAGGCAAAGGCATCTTTTCAAAAGTGCATCGAATACCTCCCTAGGGATCTAACCTTTGTACTACCTGCCAATCCCACTTCAAGTAAAAACGGTCATGATAATGACCAACGATGGCCTGCATGCACTTGACCTCACGTTCTGATGAATTCTCACTCATTCCAGCTGTTCATATGGCAGGAAATTTCTTCCTTTGGTTAGTTCCTCTACCTAGAATCTGTCCCCCCAAATAGCTAGAGTTCATCTCCTTTTGTTTCAGTTTAAGTCTTCAAGTCACTTCTAAGGCTTTCACTGTCAAATTGCAAACACACCCATCACTCATTAATTTATAACCCCTCCTAACCTTCCTTCTAGGCCTCCCTTGGTTTGAGTTGGGGCAACACACAGGCTTTCCATTTAATCTCCAAACGGGGGTCAGGGCTCAGCAGGGCCCAAAGTCTAGGCAAAGAATCTGCCCAGCCTGAAACTCACCTTCTGCAAAGCGTGTCTCCTCCTCACCATCTGTGATGTGAAGAATGTCCAGGTGGGAAGAAGTCAGGTCAGCTGAGCCGAGGGTATCCCTGCTGGAGCCTCTCACATCCCCGCACCTGCAGTCCCACACTTCCTCCTCCAGGCCAGGTGTGCCAGCTTTGCTCAGGGTGCTGTGGGGACCCCTTGCATCAGAATCACCCTGGGACTCTTATAGAAACTGAGTCCCTGACCTCACTCTATCTTCTGAACAATATCTTCTGAATCAGTCTCTAAAGGGAAACCTGGAAGCTTATTTTATTACTATACTTTTCCTATTTATTGAGATATTATTGACATATCACTCATAAATTTAAGGGGTACAATGTGATGATCTCATACACACATGTATTACAAAGTGATTACAAATTAGGTTAACACCTCCATCACCTCACAAAATTACCCTTTATTCTATGGTGATAACATTTAAGATTGACATTTGGGCCCTGGCTGTGTCGCTCAGTGCTTAGAGCATCGGCCCATGCACCAAAGGAATGCGGGTTCAATTCACAGTCAAAGGCACATACCTTGGTTGCAGGTTCGATCCCTGGCCACAGTCAAGAGCAGGGAGCAAGCAATCAATGTTTCACTTTCTCTGTGCCCCCTCCTTCCTTCCCTTCCCCTCTCCAAAAATTGACAGAAAAAAATATCCTTGGGTGAGGATTAATTAAAAAAAAAAAAAAGACATTTAGTTGTCAAATTAACTTGCTCTTACCATTAGAGGAGGGGTAAGCAAACTTTCTGTAAAGGGCCAGACAGTATTTTCACCTCTGAGGGCCACATGGCCCCGATCACAAGAATTCCCTTCTACTATCGTGGCACAAAAGTAGCCCAAAATGATACATAAATAAATCAATGAGGCTGTGTTCCAATAAGATTTTATTTATGGACATTAGAATTTGAATCTCATATACTTTACACATGCCATGGAATATTGTTCTTTTGATTTTTTCCAACCTTTTAAAAACATAGAAATGCTTCTTAGTTCACAAACACAGGCAATGTGGGCAGGCTGGCCCGTAGACTAGCTGGGAACCCCAGTGCAGAGTTAGTTCTCCCCAACACGCAGGCGTGCACTGCGCTGGCAGCAGGACCACAACAGTGATCCTTGGTCCTGGCTGTGTCATTCTTGTTTGTTTGTCCACTCAGTTCACTTGTCCTGCCTGAAATTTGTGGATGGCACAAGATCCTCAGGGTGCGGAAAGAACATCACCCATGGCCATTCTTGAGTTCTAAAGATCAAAAAATTACCCTGAAGGACGTTATGGAGGGGGGCTGGTGGAGATACCTGTCCTAGTTGCTCCTGGCTGCCATAACGAATTCCCACGAGTGGCTTAAAGCGACAGAATTTATTCTCAGTCCTGGAAGGCAGAGTTTGAGATCAAGGTGTCCGCAGGCTTGGTGCTGAGGCTGAGGGAGAATCTGGCCTGTGACGGGTTTCTTGGCTGGTAGCCGCACTGCACCAGCCTCCACCTCCATCTTCACGTGGCCTCCTGCTCTGTGCCTGTCCCCTTCCTTCTTCTTACAGAGCTGACGCTAGATTTAGGGCCACTCCAATCCAGGGTGACCTTAACTATAGACTTTAGTTTCAGCTACAAAAACCCTTTTTCCCAATAAGGTTGCATTTGCAGGTTGTGGGGGAGCATACCTTTTGGGGGTTCACGATTTAACCCAGGACAATACTCTCAGAAGGGCCCAGAAGGACCTGGAGAATGCTATCCCCAAGGCTGGTCCTGGAAAGATCAGGTGGATGTGAGGGAGGAAGATGACAGGCTCAGGGCCACCCGACCAGAGCCATGACGTGGGACATGGTGTGACACAGTCTCAACAGCAAACGCAGAGGCAGCTGGGAATGGGCGAGCATGTGCTGAGCCGTGAGGCTGCCGGGCTCCATCGGAAGGGCCACGGCTCCTGAGCTGCCCTATTGAGCCAGGTCTGGACAGAGCCTCCAGGAGCCGCGTCCACAGTTAACCCTTTTAATGGTGTCAGAGCTTCAACACTGTCCTCATTAAAGCACCGGCCTGCGTGGACTAGACAGCTTTTAAGCAGCATTTCGCACCTGCACATTCACAAAGTAAGGTTTTAGGGCCTTGAATGACAAACATGCTCGTTTTCTCCCACGTGGGGGATCGGGGACTTCAGCTCCTCCTGGGATGCCCCTCACGCTCACTCCCCTCCCCGCATGAAGGCTCTTCCTCCCACTCTGCGTCCTGCTGCCCATCCCCCTCGCTCCTGGGAAACCAGACCCCGCAAGAGTGGACGTCCTGCAGTTACTCCATCCACACGAGGTAAGCAAGGCTAGCAGTCCATCATCGTTGGTCTTACTGCCCTCGGCAAGCTTCGGAAAGCAATGAAAACGGGGTACACACAGACAATAAAGAGAAAAATGCTATTCAAAAGACCCAGCTCTCTCCTAAAAGGGAAATTGTGTAATGTGTACGTGCATTTCATAAAAACACAAGGGGAGAGCCCTGGACGCCTAAAACCAAACCTCAGGAAACCAGGCCACACTTAGAAAAATGAAAGCTGATTTTTATTTTATCAAC